TAGTCTCACCGTCCAACATGACTCTATTCATTCATTTAATGTTATAATAATATGATCAAGTTAGTATTTTATCCACGACATGATTAAAAACACTTTTATCGTTTAATTTCACGTATGTAGGTATGTATATCGTTTTCATTTTGCTATCTTTTACCGATGTTACGAATACTCATTTGTTTTTCTAGGGTATTCAAATAATACTATAAACTTCTTTTAATTTAGTATCTTTATTTTTTTAACAGAAAATAACCTTTATCGTCGTGCTACTTGAGAATTAATACGCTAGCGATGTTTTTTTATGGTTGTAACCTACAAAAAAATTCAATAACCACTGAATCGGACAAAGATATCGCGCATACGAACGCGTATACATAATACAAAGAGCACTTCGCACGAACCGGAGTTAGCGACACATTCATGCGTCACCCAGACCTTATTGCCGAGTGTCACTCAATGGTCAACCAACGGTTTTAAAGAAAAAAAAAATCAATAAAATTTATGTCCCTTTATGAAATTTTATATTCACATCAAACGTCAATTTTTAAATAGTGACATTAACGAGTCTAGGACGGCATGTCGATCATAAGCATACCGCTGGAGATGTGATCCCGATTATTTTAATTATAAATTCTATAGCCCGTGAGATTCACGCTACTTAGCATTCAACGAACACATGTGTTAATACTAGCGTATATTATAAACTATATCTATCTCTCTCTTTCTTATATTATATCAAAATGTGTAAATAGTATAAATTGTTTCTATGTTGTCCTTGCAATTAATAGGAAAGTTGACTGGAAATTTAGATTTAGATATGAACCCCAAGAAAGATGACGAAATAAGAGGTAATAATATCCAGGTGGCCAGGGCCGCTCTATCTCTATAATCTAATTCATAGCTGAACATAATACTGAACATAAAACTTGCTGGTGATGTTGTCATCTTAACCTTGTCCATCATACGGATGTACAGTAGTTTTAAGAATCATAATTATCATTCTTTGTTAATATTAAATAAAATAAAAAAGCAACAGACTTTGACCGAGTAGAAACTTATACTCGATTTTTACATTATAGCCTTTATTTTTACAAATGTACATTAACAAACGTAGTACATTGTACATCGCGGATCGTTAATTTAAATTTGGGACTAGTATTTGATAGTATTAAAAGCCACGCAAGCAATGTCTAAAGACTTAACTTTCTCATATTTACGGACCAGGCAAAGTTTCCATCTTTAATCTGCGTGGGCGCATGTTTCTAAGAAGACATATCTCGCCTACCATACGTAATGCCGCAAAAAAAACCTAAGTAATGCTGACCATACTTTTACGGTGAAGAACTCCGTAAATGAATCATCGCATATGCGTTTCTCGTCAGAGTTCGATGCAAAAAGGGTTTTGTCGAAAATGTTCTTGTCTGCGAGGCTCGGCAGCGAGGTGCCCGTTGTTGTCTGTACTCATCCCTTATTTATTTATACTGGTATGAAGAATGTGTACTTTTTGCGTAGCTGACAACGTCCAGCGCTGCCACGAACCGAGTCAGTGAATTCTTTAATTGACAAAATGTAGCAGCGTTGCATTCCAACTCAAACTTCAACGTTCGTACACAAAAACAACAGTAATAATGAATTGGTGAATGACTCCAAAAGTATTTGATTCAAAATGGCGACGTTTATGTAACAACAATCAACATTTAAATTAGTTTGTTCCTATTTTTTGTCAATAAGTTTAAAACTAGCAGAAAAGCAAATGGCCAAATCGCCACTTGAAATTATGTTGGTAGGTTATTTACATTAGTTGGTTTTTGCAAAAATAAATCGTGAATATAGCCCAATCATTTATAATGAATGTAAATCGACAGGAAAGCTCATGAATTTCAGTTCCTGACCTCGTATTATATCGCTAGCCGCTCGTTATCATCAAAAATGCACTTCTGTTTGATTTAACTTGAAATTAAAACTATTTTCATAAATTCAACAAAGTTACTCTCACAACCTTAGGTTTCTCTTATCATTGAAGATAAAACATGCGTGGTTCTACCCCGCAACCGGACTTTCCCTTCAGTTAAAGTACGGGCCGCACCTGTCGGGTGAAAGAGGTGAAGTTGCATAGCCAGTTTCGTAGCTAATACGTGATTCAATACATTTTGCAGTGCGTCGTAAGACTCATATGGATACTTATGTACGTGAGTTTATAGCGATCTTTGCGATTTTAACCGATGTTGAAGAAGAAAAAAAAGAGTACTATTATTAACTATTTGTCTGTTATCATTGGGCTTCGACAGCCCCATCATTACCATACATTTTATGTGGTGGCAATATTGTGGATTCATATCTGTTATGAAATGTATGTGGATCATATATAAAAAAAAAAAACGACGAATTCAAAACGATGAAAAGTTAAAGGGCTTAGCTAATGTTATCTTACAAAGGATGACTTTGAAACGAAGTAACTTCAGCCCAAAACACTGCTCTATACTATCTATAAATAAAAATTTTACCAGTGATCGTAAGTTCCACAGATTATTATTTTAGATGTGTTTTTTTTTTATCCGAACAAAAAGGATGCTCGCATTCAAGATGTGTACTTGGTACTACACCGAGCATTTCAATCGAGAACACAATTTACAGCATTTTGCAGAAATTACTTTTCTAAAAAAAAATTTGTTTCGAATTCTACCTAAGCCGTCTTCTAATTTTAAATTGACAAGGAAATTGATTGGCCCTTTTATCGTTTGGCATGTAGTTTTTTTTTTTTAGTTAAGAGATTAATTATGAGACCGACGGCGAGATCCAACGACCAAAGAGGATATGAACAAGGCAGGCGGGCACACGCAATACACGCCGTATCAGACGTGTATGCCGCTCCGTTACGACACCTACACCAAATTTTTCCACATGCCCGAGCAGCAGATAAGCGGCAAACGACGCCAACGTGTTATTTATTAACGAACCGAATGATCGATAGTTGGACGCGTCACCAGACGTGGACGTCAACCGGCGTGGTCTTTCGAAACTCTCCGCGCCACACTGACCATCGACGTGTACACTCATTTCAATCAATTTTTTTTTTCTTTTTTTTTTCCTTTGTAGCCAGACGACAATTAACATTTCGCCTCTTTTTAATGCACAATATGAAAACGACACTGATCCGTTTAGATTTGAATCGCGTAAGTTCGAATCGATTAAGCTGTTCGTTGCAATTTAATTTAATTACTCTACATGTATAGGATCTACATTTATGATTTAATTAAAACAGTTGTTTCATAAACATTAATCGTATCGTAATTGCGTAATTGGTTAATCTGGCTTATTGAAAATGTTTTGTTACAACTTATAAATACATAATTAAATCTCCTACATCCGGTGTGTTTTAATGAAAATAATTAATTGGCATTCATTTCTAAACGAGTTGAATTTTTTGGGACACAATAAAATTAATGGTATTAGTTAGAAATAACAAAAATTTCGCCGTGTCTAACATATTGTTTGTGTAGCCGTGAATCCCTCAACCCTTCTCTGTGCGATTCGATTCGCTTCAGAGCGTGTCACAGAGCCGTGTCAGCTGTGTGACACTTTCTAATCTCTTGATACAGTAGAACAAACAATTACGAAGAACGGACAATTGCGAAATCCATTTAGGATCAAACCATTGTTAGTATAGATAATTCAATTCAATTAATGTCTATAAATGTACCATTTGACAGATTCGTTCTTCACTTGATTACATAATGCACGACGCTCTGATTATTATTCGATACCGTTACCTCTAAAGTCATGGATCAGGTTATTAATGTAAACAAGCCGGTATGTTTACATGTATCGATTCGAAGCGAACGTGATGGGAAACGGCCAGAAATTCGAGGTTCAGCCACACAGGGCAGGTTAGACCAGTCCCGATGGCCTCACAAGGACCCCAGCAAACCTGTTAGATTCGTTGCACGATTTTTACGTGCGCACCTACCGGAATCTCATTCACGTGGTGCACCCGCGCCGCCCGGCCCCCGTCTCTTCGGCTTGCCAACTAACTCGTCAAATGACTCACGCATCGGCTGGTTAAATGCCAGAAGCTGGCTTTTCCAGTTCGCCACTACACTTAGTATATTCTATTAGCTCTCGAGAGCAACTTCAAGTAATCCGAATAGATTCGAGGCTAAGCATTTTGTTGTAGTCTTCGTTTTATAGGTTACTTGATAATTTTAAACCGCATACTATTAGTTCAACATAAAAATACTTATGTAATTGTGTAATATTGAATAAGTGTATCAATTGAATGGGTTTCCCAAACCTGTCTTCCAATTGAATGATTTTGCGGAATAGCTTGTATATTTTGCTACGACACAATGAACCTATCAAACATCAGGAACAGGAATCAGGTAGAACTACTATCCGGTCAAACCCGTCCGACGCGTGCTTCCACCATTTTTTATTTATTTGTCTGCAACGTCGGATACCGCTGGGCGTGACGTCATACGACCTAAACTGGTTAGCGAGGGAGCAGGGATTTGCCTCGTATCCTTCCGGTTCTGGGAGTGGTTCGGACCTGTTCTACTTCAGGTTGCACCACACCAGGCGATCCAGCTCGTATGACGTGTCAGTCAGTGCACCACAGAAATCTTACCGTATCAGTCTGTGTGAACAGGCTTACGATATCGTTAGGTCGTCAAGCAAACTGCTTATGTTTATACGGCACCGAGCATTGGCTCAGCTGACTCATTCCTCTATGTGCGCTACAATTAGCGAATGCGCCGTCATATAATACGACAATCGGTATGAGTGCCATCAAAGGTCAGTATCCGTACCGAAATGGTCACGCCTAATAACTGGTTCGTAAGTTGTAGCGGACTTATAAAACTACACGCCCGATATACCTGTATTTTACGTTGTGTTTACACATATGAGATGATGACTTGAATGAAACATAAGCATAGCAGACGAAATGCGTCGTTCAACATGTACATACGTTCATGTTAGCTAACAAATGTTTTTTTTGCCCTCAGGAGACGCAAAGAGGTGATGGAAGTAGGCGGAGAGACATGGCGCGCGTATTATTCCAGCGGGGCGGATCACCCGCTGAGCGCGGCTACGTCGGCCGTGCTTGGCGTCTCAGATGATCAACAGCCTCAGCCGCTTGTCGCTGATTATTACAAGCTTCCTCCACTCGGACAAGATACCCATCTGCATCTTCACAAGGATGCTAAACTTGTTGATGTCTGGCCGTGAGTATTATCTACCTCCTGCACTACTTAGTCAGCATATTATTTATAGTTTAATTTTAACATATTGTTCGGTTAATTGTCATTCGGTAATTTTAATTTCATTTATCATATGAAACAATAAACCTCAACATTGACAACCAGTTTAACTTGATATACATTTAAACCATGCAGGTACGAACTTTTACCTGACACTTAGACAAAGATTTTGACAAGCAGTAATACACTGTTGTTGTGGTTAAGTTTTAGCTAGGTGGACGAACGAGCTTTGTTCACCTGATGTTAGAGGTAGCTACCAGAGCCTATAGATATCTCATGAGGTCTAAATATCAGTTGTATTGTATAGTTTCTAGCCGAAAAGCAATTAAGGCGTATCATACCCAGAGAATGCTGCTGCTAATTCTTCGGTGATTCCCTTAGAGTCCTTTTACGAAACCCACGAGACGATAACGGATATTCTAAACACCATACAGCCAAATTATGTTAAACCCGAAATCATAAGGAAAATAGTATTCAAGCGTAACAAAACGCATTTTGTTTTGGTTTCTTAACTTACTTTCAAGAAGATAAAAAAAATGTACATGTTTGTCGATTTATAAACACTAACGAAGTTTGTTAGTCTACATTTATTGAAAGAAGAAATTACTCACAAATTTTTACGAGTGTTTTTTTTTTCTATTCGAAAGTGAACGTATCGTTAGTGTATCGAATCATAAATGCAAATTTCCGAGTATCGATTTTCGACTAAACATTTAAACGTGGAATCAATCAGAAAACAATCGCGGAAAATCAATCCTCGATTCTCACGGCCGTAGATCAAATCGAACGTTCGTGTATCGATGCAATTATCATTATAATCGCCGAATTTCGAGGCACGGTGAATACCGAATGAATTTGCGTAAAATTTATATGTAAACTATGATAATGTGTGCAACGGTGTTTTTGTGCGCGCTCACATGTCTGCAGACAGGGTTGTGCGCGACTCTCACGGACGAATAAACTGAGACAAGACGCCGCGTGGCTTCCGGCCCCAACGAAAGGTGTAAGAATAACAAATAATAAAAATGTTAATGTTCCACTCAATAAATCATAGACTCTCATTTGAATACGCACGGTAAGATTAACAGTTCGCAACTGCGAAAACACCCCGCTCCTGCTTCTGAATATCATTTAAATTAGCATATCCTTCTTGGGACTTGGGTAGGTATAGTTATGAATAAGTACAGATAGGATATATAGCGAGTAGTTATAAGGATTTATGAATTTCGTTAGCATTATTGAGAGATTTTTCGGTATTCATGTGTATTAATCGTTAATTTCGAGCTAAAGTCATTTCAGACTTTCATAGTATTAGTATTTTGTTTCCTATCTGTATTTTAAGTAAAGTAAAAATAAATTCACCATGAATAAATTAGTAGACAATATCAACGCCGCGACGTATTCTCATAGAAAAGGACCCTTATCAAATTATAGTCCGGTCTTTGAAAGAGGTTGTTAACAGCATCCTTTGAATGGCGACGTAGAAATGAGCAAGCGCTGCGACACATTTTTAATACAAGGAGTGCATAATGTTAACTTAACCCCATACAAACCATTTAAACTTTTATGGAGTTTTTATTGTACACCATAAACACTAGTTAGAGAGGAAACTTGTTTGAATCCATGAAAATGTAAATCGCGTGTTAGCGCTTACACACTTGACACCTATAAAATTCGGAGAATATATTAAATGGGAATTATGTGTAGATGTATGTACGTTGTACTACATTTAGTATTTTTATGTTTTTTTTTTCATTAAGGATCAAAGTAAAGTGACAGTTTTAATTACTAAAATGACAGTTTTGGTTTTCCGAAAACAACGTAACCATTCCCGTCGAATTATTAATTAGTAATGTGATGCAATCGTGGTAGGTTCCAACAATCAAACAGCATAGCAACTGGATAGTTTGTACGACCGAAACAAATGAATATTCGGGAATGTGTCGACGCGGGCCGATCCATTCCGCCCGTCATGTTCGTCACTGTTTACGGGAGTGCATAAATACAAATAATGACAATAGACGGATGTGGATGGAAGCGGATCACATTGACAAGGACGCCCAGGACTTGTCTCGAGTCATTGTCGGCACGCGTCCCACGCGCCCAGTTCAACGCGCCGCTATTGCTCATTCATACATTCAAAATTATAACGAATACCAAGTCTCGCCCGCACCCATCCGCGCGCTTCGCCTCTCCGAGTCTGTTTGTATGCTAATCGTTCGACGCCAGTGCATCGTCAGGTTTGACGCGAATGTATTTGTTGTCTAAATCGCTCTTAATATTTGAATTGAATGCACGATAGATGTAGAAATGAACTAGTTCCGTCTGTATTCCTCTGCGACCGTTCATGTAGGTGTTAAGAGTTTCGTAAGCACATTGCGTGCAGTCACGAGAGCGCGCAGCTAATCTTTCCTATCGTAAATACCTAATATTTGTTCTCGAGTAACATTCAATAACCTGGTATCTTATTTTGAAAACATTATATTTTAGACTTTCTTAGTAGAGTCTTCTTAGTTGAAACGCTTTGGCTATTAACATTAATATTAGTCGATGAGCGTAGAACAGTAATGGTAAGATTAGCATAGAAACGCGCGACTGGATGCCTCAGGGAGGGCCTCGCCCTCTTGACCCTGTCGTTCGCACTCGCCACAGTAACGGGAAGTCGATTTCACCAACTCCACACTTACATATTATTATATTCTCATGGGCAGAATTATTTTACAACGTAGATAATTATAAACATCGTTTAGTCCAGCAACAACAGAACTTATAAGTAACATAAAAGTACTTATTCAGATGGGATTTTATACTGTTTATAATTTTTATTTTAAATTTAAACTACGATTAATGGCTGCTCCTTATATCGTCACAGTTGCTTAACAGAACCCTGAAACCGTGTGACCCATTTAAGAGTAAAACCGGTTTCCTCTTGAAGATCGTCGTCATTGTTCATGGTATAACATTTAATTCCATTCAATTCCTTTTGTAACGAACCCTCTTGCGAAGATAATGTATAAAAAGATAGGAACGTCGTTATGTCCCTGACGGTCGTGGTCATCGCGTTACTATTAAACGGGGCTTGACCATTCATTCTTGACCACCCTTTATCATGCGAACGTTTTTATTGAAACGGTTAAAAGAAATTCAGTTACCTACAATACGCGAAAATAGTCCAGGTGCATATGATTATTGTGATACGCCATTAAAATTACAAGTAGTTTTATTTAGGGAGACAACGGGAAATTATTGTTCTAGCTAAAGTACGTAATAACTAATCTTTAATTCGAACTACATGGGCAAATGGTGAGATCGTTTTGAATTGAAATTTTTCGATAATGTATTAGTTCCGTGAGAAAAGTAGCAATAAACCTACATTTAGACGAATGATATATTCAGATGGAATTGAATTACGTTGCTCGCATCCGCTGCAAGCGCCTCCTTAGTTTCATTTATAGCGCGGTAGATTGTAATCTATTCGTCAAGCGGTGGATAATAAAATGTCGCTGCCTTTAATTTTGATAATGATGCCAATCACTGCCGTCATATATTTTTAGTTTTATTGAGCTATTGGACATGTTTTTATAAAATTATCCTTTGATTTTGGTTTCTTTTTTATTAGATGTTAAAACAGAAGAAGTTCTGTCCAACTGAATGCTTTTCAAAATAAGCACTCTTTAATTGAAGATATCAACAAATCTCGACTTATATTCAGGAAATACATAATCAATTAAACGAACCTAATGAATCCTCTTTATGTTAGACGTACTGTTTTGATTTGTCGACTAGAGAAAAAGAATAAGAATAATTGAAATGATCGTCTTTGTGATTCATAAGAGGTATTTCGATAGTTGCATTGAATTCACCAATATCGTAAGTTCAAACGAGGGTTCGACGCACCCTCGGCTCTCGACGTATTGTCAAGATCTCGTCATGTGTGAAAGGGTGTTAAGTAAACATTGCAAATAATTATTATGGCAATTGCATCCCGGTATCCGACTGATCCAGCTTTGATAAGAATATTATATTTACATGTTAAGCGCAATACACTGTTGCTAGAAAAGATTCTCATTTATATCTCACATCAAACTCTCTGTTATGCTAATGCAGTGCAACATGATATCAGATTAGAAGTTTAGAATTTTTAGTTACCAACCCGATTCGATTTTGAAGCATTTGAGCATATTACTATAGAATTTGTTTAAGGAAAATTATACGCGCTTCCGTTAAGTATAATTAAAATGTATTTCGCGTTACTAAAGTATAACGCGAACACTTTTTTGATTACTCTATAAAATCCATTTTGGGGATACATTAAATGATTAGTTAAGATATTTAATTTGTTGTGGTATATCTCGGAGGGCAAGCGCGGCGTGGGCAGAACACCAGCCAGATGGTCAGATCTAGCAAGAGAAGCACTTCGTGGTAGTCTGTACCATGCAGTCCATGCCACCCATGATCGAACACAGCGGAAGAACGTCACATGTGGTCGCGATCCTCAGTAGTGAGGGAACGATATAGAAGAAGAAGAGATATCTCGGGTGTTCGTGTAGTATAATACCGGCAGGGCTGGAGGCATTTCAGCTGTCAGCCGAAATGGCTTTGTATACGTTTTTGTAGGCGCCAACAATGAGCGACAAGCAAACATGTATTGTACAGAGTGCTTATGAATAACGTTATTTGTGCAAGCTCGCCGTAAGCGCACTCAGTATGTATTTATACGTCTACAACATTAGCATACTTTGCGAGACATTATTTGTTATTTATTTATTTATTTTTTATTGCTTAGATGGGTGGACGAGCTCACAGCCCACCTGATATTAAGTGGTTACTGGAGCCCATAGACATCTACAACGTAAATGCGCCACCCACCTTGAGATATAAGTTCTAAGGTCTCAGTATAGTTACAACGGCTGCCCCACCCTTCAAACCGAAACGCATTGCTGCTTCACGGCAGAAATAGGCGG